AAAAGATGAGCTGCTGCGCTTGAGACTGTTGCACTCAGTGAACTGCTATAGAATACCCCCGGGACGAGCATTCAAAATGCAAAAGTGAAACGAAGGGAAATACGCTTTTTGTTCGAAAATTATTCCGACCTGATTTTTATACACCAGATTAGTCCCCCGTCAACCGCCGGGACCTTCCTTTCCTGCGCAAGCTTTCTATCCTCCGCTATGGTCCCTTCCTCCTGTGACACCAACACCTCCTGGAAGTGACGCGTATGCAACACAATGGTGTTTCAATACAGTAGAAGGGACACAATCATGATATGACGGTAGATTTTTCGCTTCCCTTCCTCATCCTCCCTTCCTCTCTCCACTGCCCTCCAGCTGCCACTGCAGCACCATGTGGAATGAACGGAAGTGTGCTAAGCAGGTGTTTATATAGCCCTAAGAGTGTTATCACAACTATCCTGCTACAAAACATTGATATCTCAAATCCTGTAAGCTACCCGATTTGTTAGCGGTTTGTTTATCCCATGAGCTTCCTTCTCACTCACTTCATTTTGCGGACGGACACACATACATACATACACACACATACACATACAAACCGACACACAAAGTTAGCGCTTTATAAAATAGAAGGATAATGGGATAGCTTCAGAACAGTTTTTTACTCTTACCTTGCGAACCGAATTATGCGCCTTCTCAACGGCCGGATCTGACTCCCCCGATGACGGGACGAGGCAGCTGCTCCCAGATGTTTTCTGTGCGTGTTTGTTGAGAATCCAGACCGCATGGTCATAGGGGAAGAGAGAAAGGAGAGCAATACTTGTAGAATTCTAGGAATGATGCAAATTACCTTCACCGTACAGAGTCGTTTCTTTCATCGACAGAGACAGATGTCGTTCCGGTTTTTTGAGCTGTGCGTTTTTGCTGGAGCTGTGTTCGAAATAGAGCCTTGCCACGATCAAATCCTAAGTGCAAGATTGAGCATGAGCTTTTAGCGCACTGAATTCTGGATAGCATGGCTTCCTATCGATAATTCGCCACACCTTGGCCCTGCGCGTCATCGGTGCCTCTCCCACATGGAGGCTTGAGAGTGAAAAAAAAACGTTCTGCTCAGGATCTTCCGGTGAAGCTGGAAGTGTGAATACGACATACACTCGAAATCGCAGGAATGGTTGCCTGAACAATGTTGGAGGGATCAGCTAACGCTTCCAGCAAGGGCTGGAAACAATGCCCAGCACCTGAATGATAAAAGTCTTATGGTTAGTTGGCCAGGATGGTATTCGCTCCGTAAAAGCGCTCAGGCCATCGCTATACATGCTGTCTTTTACTGGCGCTCCCCCATTAGGAGTGGCATTCAAGTAACTAAGTGGGCCAGTTGCAAAACTTGGTACGGGAAGGGATTCTGGGCCACAGTAGTGATTTTTGTTCTCCCCACCATTTCTCCCCTTCCTCTCTCCAGGACTTAGTCCCAGTGTCATCTCATCGCGGTTTTCAATGACCCTGTATTTGAATGCTCCTGCCAAAGTCAGGAGTGCCCTTTAACCCTTACTCGAGACGCGATTACAGCTCACTACTTATTGCCTGCATTTGAAGGCTCGAAGTAGCGCCGCTCGTAGCCGAAACGCTCATCAACTTGCACAGAGTTTCCACTGCTTGTCGGCTGTCGATAGCCGTTGGCAATACATGAAATATGTTATTTTTCGTTCACGAACAGCCAAGATGGAAAACAGCATGCGTGTGTATTGCAACGTGGAACCCGTTCGTTGCAGTTCAGAGTTCCGATTCGTCATTCCGACTGTCGCGGCCATATCATTCATTGCTCTGCCGAGCTCCTGGCTTGAGCGTATAGTTTTGGGGCCTTAAGGCCTTATGTCGAATGGGGTTTTGGAAAGGAAAGCCTATTAATCACCTACCGGACAAAAGGACTTCATATGTATAATGAAAGGTAAAGCGCTTTATAAGTCCCTTTTTGTACACGCTACGCTGTCAGCCTCATCGAAGTCGCCACGCACTTGAACGAAGCGCAGCGCTCTCGAACGCATTTCGCCTATATCGTGATTCCCTGAGCATTTTTTTTTTGGCAAAAGATAGGGGAAATTTCCTAATCCCGTCAGATGCTGCAAAGACCACGGGGACAGGGCGGAACATTGGTTTCCGGCCCTGATCCAGATTGCCTTTGTATCCTCATGGCACGAAGCGATCTTGGTGGCTTGTGCGCGGCAACTCGCCTGCTTTACCTACGCTGCTCCCTAGGCATGAGAAAAAGTAAAAACAGAACATTTGGCGGGAACTTCCGCTTTCTTAAAAGATTTAAATAAAAAGGATAAAGCATTTGCCGTTGATCAATCCCTTTTGGGATGCGGCACGCATTCTACTTCCATTTGTACATTCGTAGTGGCGTTTGAATGCGATGTGGCCTATACAATGACTTGCGGGGGCCAGCCGATGTACAAGTCAGTGTTTTTATCCTCCCAGACAAGTCTGGTACCAATTAACCGACCCCGGAGGGATGGAAGGCTTGGTTGGCCCGGGCGACTCACGACCCAGGATTTGATCCCCGGACCGCTCGCGTAAGCTGTGCCACTTGCCACTACACCACTTCCGCCCTTCCACAATAACGCTTGAAACTTAAATGCTAGTTTGTTGTCCAGAAGGCCTTGCGACACTTCGCCAGCAGAGATTTTGATTGGTGCATTTTTCTCCTGAACGAATTATATAAGTCAGCAAATTATCAGGCTTTTACACTTCAAGCACTGCCCTTGAGGAACTTGTAAAATAGCAGACGTCAAAGGGATGTTGGTTGGAGGCAAGTTTTGAAACTCGCACACCCGTTGCGACGGCTCGTATACATACAGGGGGGGGGGCAAAAAAGGACATTTTGCCCAGGTCGCACTTCGGCTTTTTTTTTTCTTCGCAGAGATTGCCGTCGTTGACGGAAGTCCCAGCAAAATATTCCCTAAATGTCCCTCTATAAGTACACAGGTCCTCCTTCACTACCCTCACTAAAGAATTATAACATCGTCTGTCACCGTCGTCAAGTGATGCAGGCCTGTAAGTAACTGCTTCAGCCTGAAGCTCTTACACATTATTTCATGGATCGATCAATCGTGGGATAGTTACCTAGGGACATTAGCTCTAACTATGCAAACCCCCCTCGGAACCCGCCCTTCGAACCCGTCGTATTGGTACACGATCAGTTCGAGAACTCCACCCGTGCGACCAGAGCACCATGTTTCCGGGGCAAACTTTTCTGATGCCGTCCACGTAGATGGCCACTATGAAGATTTTCTTATGGAATGAAATGCGCTCTTCAATTCTAAGTTGGGAGCACACGCTTTGAGCTGAGCAAAGTGTGATTAAATCCATTTGAGTCTGGAGACAAAATGTCTTTTTTTATTGCCCCCCCCCTGTATACCCTTCTAACTGAAATCTCCGAAGACACACTAAATTAAAATGAGAGAAGAGTGTAAATGAAAATGGTAATGATTTTCTCCTAAGGTGCGTTGTTTATAGTTTCACTGGACTTTCCGGACTATCCAATAGAACAGCTTCATGAATAGCACTTGTTGAGCGGTTAATTGGTGGCACTTCGTTTATTGCTAATGTTTGTGATGATTACTTTGACACATACGTACTGAAAGGGTTATGACAACAGCAGGCGGGTGTGGCGCAACAGCGCAGCGACAGTTCTGGCGCCATGTAGTTGGCGCGCGCTACGACTGGCGCTGATCCACTCAGCAAACACACAACATTAATTAATCGCATACATCGGCTCGTCTTTTCTGACGGGATTATCAACACCCGACAGTGAGTACCGTAATTGGATTATCGAGAGTTACAGGTCTTCCGCGATCAACCGATGGACTGGACCAGCGACAGGGGATACCAACATTTCCTACGGCAAACCTGTGCGTTGTTCCATAGGAAGGATTTTGGAAATGTTAAACTAAACCGTAGAAAAGAATACAATTCTGAATTTTGCAACCTCCATTTGTGCCATTCACACTTTCCAGACTAATTAAATAAAACCTCACTGAAAGTAGACGTATTTTTGTGCGCAGTTGGGATTTCGAGACCATCGCTGAATTTGCTTGGTGCGGCACAGTATCAGCTGCTGACTATATGCCCAGGCTCGCAAGGAACGCTAGGAGTTTCTAACCATAAGCGGCCAGGCATCTTCATCCTGCCGCTCCTAGCTTACATCAAAGGAGTGCAAGGCCACTCGACACTATAGACAAACCCAAGCAGGCTGAACCGACGTAGAGGATTCCCCAACAAGTGAGATAGGTGATCGCATTTTGAGAAAAGAGAGGTTGTATTGGGTGGAACCCGTAGTAGATTTTTGGGAGAGGTGGAGAGAAGACTATTTTTCTTTAATGAATGTTCAACAGAGATTTGGACATCCTTTGAAGGATTTCAGAAGGTTTCTGGAACCGTCTGTTCAGGAAATTCTAGAATTCTTCCTGTAGTATTACGCCTTCCCACTTCCCCAATTTCTTCCCTACCACTCCCGTCGAAGTACTTTCGAGAGAGAGGGAAGTGTATTTCAGGTAAAAGGAAGATTTGATGAGAAGGATGTCATAGGCAGGAGTCCTTTCAGGGATAGGCGCGGGGCGGTAGCGGGTCAGATTTTCTCGGCGTGAATCAGTCTGGTTCGAAAGGCATTTTACTCCAATGTAACACCAACTCTAGTCGAGCACATATCAAAAAGATGATTTAGCTGAGCTCTCGACGTGGCCCGGACCAATATTGAGAAAATATTAGTGGTGATTTTTTATACTTCGGGTAAAGCACACATACAACAGATGAATATATTTCTCAATCACACAACTACAACCATCAATAAAACTAGTAAATTAAATAATCAGACATCTTGGGCATCGCTTGGAGCTTTCTCAATCTTGACACAATTCTTTGCACAGGTTTAGTCTCGAGATCATGTGGAGGTAGAAAAAATCAAAAAATTGCACATCAATTAGTAGAACAGTTTTAATGCTAATTGTCAGTCGCTACCCGCCGATAGCGGTCACTTGTTGGGTTTGCGCTCCTGCGGCGACCATCTGGGCCAGTTGATCCATGTCTTTGACTCCTACTCGGCTCATAATCGTACCAATAGAAGGGAATCCTATCGCGGTGCCCGAGCTGACGCCGATTCCCACGAAGGGACTGGAGACGCCCTGGAAAAGGAAAGAGAAAATTGATTGAATTTCAAGATTATTCCCAGAAGATCAATCGATATATCGATTGAGAACTCTCACCCTGTTGAAGGAGACACCACCGTTGTACCAGTCGACACCGACTCTATCAGCGTAGCCGAAATATGGTCCCACATGATAGCCACTAGTGGCCTGGATTGGACGTCCGAGTTCGCCTTCTTTTAGTGGAACGTGTACCTGAAACCGTTCAGTACCTCACGAGGAAGATCAGAGTTCCTGTCGGTTAGTTCTCTAGGCAAAACTTGAGTGATTGAAATGGAGGACCACAAGAAAAAGGAAATAAACCTGAGTTCCACCGCCTCCTTCAACTCCCACGCTTTGAACAACTGGAATACTCCATCCAGTCTTGTACCCGTATAATCCTGAAAAAATATTTTTGGCTTGAGTTGTCAGATGGGATCATCGCACTTCACCTACCCTCATACCAGTTTGCTCCATATTCTTGAGTCTGTGAGAAATAGTCGCGCACACCCACATTGCTCGAATAGCCTCCTCCCCATGAGCCGAAATCGACCTGGAATAAAAGTACACGTTGTGTCGATGGCTCTGGCAACTGACGGCTGACGAACCTTGCCGGTATGCCCGTTTCCGATTGAACCTTCTTCGTTCACTGCATAGTACGGTATTCCATTCACATCCCAGTTGTAGTAAGTCAGACCGACACCTGACGAGAAGGCGTTCGCGATCGCACCAAGTGGGCGCGCCTGGAAATGTGAGTTCTCTGCGAAGACTATCAGCACTTTGCGCCATGAGTAATAGTACAGTGAGTAGTATTATGTACTTTAACAAATTCTTACTGCTTCCATTGCCACACAACTACGATTTGTTCGTAATTATCAAGACGGTTTGTTACCTTTTATAATATTTATTTGTTTATTCGTTTACACCTCAATCACATGGGAGGTTAGAGTGCATGGAACAGCACCAACAAAGGAAGTCTTTCAGGGCAAGCCGCGCTTCTTCAAAATAGAAAACAGGGTTTTTTGCACTCGTAGGGAAGCATGGATTAACACAAAACCATGTTGTATTTTCGCTGAACTCTTTTAGCAGTATCAAAAAAAGGCAGATTAAAGTAATACTATTGATTTCGGTACCCGTTGGTGGACAAATTTTGCATTTTAGGTTGGCGCCTATGGGTTGGCGCTAAATGGCGCTGAATTTCAGAATCAGATGTCTTGTGTATTCTCAGGACCATATTTAGCCCAAAAAGAGGCCAACAAGTGGCTGCCAACCCTGACGCTACGGGGATTGACCACTAACAGGTACTTCAGACTACTCTTATTGTAACAAAATCGCTCAGCGAAAAATAGAACATGGTTATGTGGGTTCAGCACATGTGCTACAACATGCAAGAAACCGTGTTTACAGCATGATTTCCACTAAATGGACGCCCTTGTTAGCATTATACGAAGTTATACGAATTTTTTTATTTATTTATATTTTATATTTTTTTTATTTTATATATATTTTATATTTTATATTTATATTTATATTTATTTATATATATTTTATATTTTATATTTTATATTTATATAGTATGTTGGTCATTTCCAATCAAGTGGGTTTGGAGAATCAATGGTAATCATTTTCAAGGTATAATTTAAAATTTTCTACAGTAAATATTGTGAGAGTTTATATGGATTGATCTCATAGAGTTTTTGATTGTAGTGTTGTGTTGGGGGGGACGGGCGCCTAATTGTTCTACACAAAATGGCTGGGATGGCGAATCTGGGGTCTACCGTTTACTGTCAGATCAAAACGAATTACTTTCTCAACCTTGTGCGCATTCGATAGTTGGCAGGATTCGCTGACAGGACTGTGGTTAAGCCAGCGCACTTACAACTACATACACTTATCATCTATGTAGGGTGCTAATAGAGAATTATGAGCCCTAAGTTCTGGAAAAAAAAGAACGTGTAGAATACAAATTGGACGAAGCGCTAACCTTAGCTTGGAACTGTGCGCAGTCCTGATTATATCCGCGACATTTCTCCAAGAACTGCTCCTCGACTTTTGAAACGTAGCAGTGCTGAAAATCAATATACGAATGAAGAGCAATTGAAGAAGTTTACCCTCCTTGTGAACGAAGTGAGAGAGCCTACCTTGGCAGCGACTGGAGCGAACCTCGCGCAAAGAGCGTAGATCTCTTTTTCCGAGAGTCCCAACTGCGACAGCGGCACGCGATTAGTCGCCTGAATCACAATTACTTGGGTTTACTCTGCATAAATATGAAATCGAAGATCAGAATAAAATATCAACAAAAATATAGATCAATAAAAATAGAGAAGGTATATAAGCTTGACGCTAACACCCCGACAATAGGGTAAGCCATCACTGATAAGTGATTAAAGTGGAAAAAATCTACGAGTTTTGGTTTGCTCCAGGGTAGCTGTACATATGTCCTCAGGTGGCCATACTAGATTATTTGTTTTTTCTCTGACAAAATTACAAAAGTGTATCCGGCGGGACGGATAAGACTTAAAAGAACGGGGAATGACCTTACTGAAGAGAATAGATCTCAATCTCCACAACTTACAATTAGTTCATAGAGAGCTTCACTCACTGCAGCCAAGTTCTGTAAGGGAATTGTTTCTTCGATGTGATCGACGCTTTTTTCTTTTGATGTCTGTTGGATGAACCCTTCGTTTGTTTCTTCTCCTTCTCCAGTAGAGTCTTTCGACGGCAGCAAATCGGCGTCCTCACTCAGAAACTCAAACAAATGAGAGAAGTTATGGAGGTGGAGTTGGGAAAAATACAAATATATAGATCGCCTGGTGGTAAATAAGGCGGTCTGGTTCAAATTTGGGACTTTCGCTTTGATTGTAAGTATTAAGGGCTATAATTCAAGCATGTTTTTAAACTGGTACGATATACTAGTACAGCAAGTAAATACTTTATAAATGCGGTCTCAAAAAACTTTCCGCCTGAAGATGTATCAAGAAAGTCGAAGATATCCATTCGATTAGGGGAGCTATTATTCTGGCATGAAGGCTGTCGAAAACCAGAAAGATTTTCTATTTGGTGCATTTGTGCCAAACAGAATAAATGCCTCTGCGAAAAACTCTTATGTAGTAGTAAACAGCGTGACTCGCAGAAACGTGTTATTCTTCCAATACTGAAGATTTGATCGACATTAGGAACCGATAATGCACAAAAAAGACAGAGAAAAAAGTCAGGATCGAAAAATATACGTGAGTTACCTACACCACGTCATCAACGGAGCAATGCAACGTGCCCCTGCTACTTGTGCAAGCAGTATGTAATGTTCTAACGTTTTATGAGCTCGATGATTGGTGAGTGAATCTAATTTAGTTGAAGGAAGAGTTGCTACAGCCGTCATGAAACGGCCTATGCGAATGATAAGCTCTCTAACCATACAAGATACATGATTACACTTAGCAGTTCCTAGATGTAACTAGATTGGATTCGTCTTTCCTAGTACAGCGTTGCTATAACTTGGCATCAAATCGTTAATGGGAGTAATGCCATCCCACTAAAAAGGATATAAGATACTGCTCAGAATAAATGACCCCTGCAGTGGCTTCTTACGGCTTAATAACTCAAAATTCCATGGAAGATGATCCTACCTTTCAGGCCTTTCAATGTGTGGGTTTTTGCAGCGTGCACTCGTTGCCTTTCCGGATATCCTAGTCGAGTTTTGATTTTGTCAAACGGATTTCCCGTGTGTGCCTCGACTTCTTCTTCGGCGACATCCGCTAGTTCTGTCTGGAAATATAAAAAGAGAAAGTATTAATCGAGAAGTGGAGTTTCATAAAAAGATTCAGTGTACTTATATATAATCGACTTGTCCTGAGGCTATCCGCTCAAAATCCGCGCAGGTCATTCAAAATTTTAACTAAATAGTACTGACCTTTAATTAGTGAACTTACGCGTTTCATAATTATAATCGGTCCACTAATTTCTGCCTATGCGAAGTTGCTGTGGGCATCTAATTTGGTAATGCTGCTATCCACGTGAGTTCCTTCATCAACGTGAAACTTCGGTAGTGTTTTTATGACAATTTCCCTAAAGTGAACAAATAACATATCTCTATATAGAAGCAGAACGAATTTTCACCGTTTCATGAATATCGGGCCACTCATAAAAAGTTTCCATTTCTCACGATCCGTGAAGGGAATCAGGGAAGCGGGGAAATATGTGGGCTCAGTCGACATCGAGTTTACCATACCTCGTGTTATTCGCCTCTCCTCCCACACGCCGCCCCCTCTCTTCAAGTAACAAGCAGCTAGAGTATATTACTGAAGTGGTGATAGCTTGGAATGCAGAATTTTCTGCTCAGTGTATGGCCGTCGTAGTGATAGGACTAATTGATGCCAAAATGCCGGCTCCGCTGCGGAGAGAAGAGTCGCTTAGGTAAATAAAGACTGCGTTTCCTTCAAAATTTAGGAGGAATTGGGTGTCTTCTCTCGAATTATACAAGGAGTCCGAACAAAGTCCGTACTGAAATGCGGCCTTCCGTGAGCAAAACCACCGTGTGGTGAGTAAGCCAGCAGAGCAATAACATCTTCAACGGATTGATGAAGAGCGTTCCAAGATTATTTGAGCGCTACAAGATCGCAAGTCTCCATTTCTCCGTGGAAAAGGGCTCAACTTAATGAGCGATGGTGCCTGTGTTCAAGACCTTCGCGCCTTGCTGACTCTCACTCCTAACACTCTAGATTATACGTTTACAGGTTCTGGAGATCGACGTGAAGGTTCATTCTAGGACGGTCTGATGGAAATGAGGTACGGCTGCCGTGAAAATCGCAGATGGTTTCAATGTAACGTAATTTCGGCGGTGAATCCCTTATGGTTTGAGGCACCTTTGAACGACTGAGTAGCTAGAGCTCGCTTTTGTTTCCGTTCACAAAGATTCCACAGGGTATCGTGAAGTTCTTTCGAAGCGAGTCTTACCATTTTTTCAACAAGGATCCTCTATCCTTGATTTTCACACACGATAACGCGGCTGTCCATGCGTCCCGCGCAGTATGGGATAATATGCAGGAAATGTGGCATTAATCATTGTGGACGTGTTAACTGAAATTAGATTATCCCATAGGATTCATGTGGGCCAAAGTGATGTGTAGTCATATATTTGCGAAACGGTGAAAATACGTTCTAAGGAAGATATTTTAATAATTCTGAATCGAGATTTCTCCAGAAATCAAGTATCAAGGTTTTTCGTTATGGGGAAACTATTGGTAATAGCGGCATTTTCCAAAAATGCACAGCAACTTTGGAATAGCAAAAAATTAGGGTGGACCTATATTTATGAAACGCAGTGTACTATCATATTATAGGATTTCTGAGCTCATTGTGTGATACATACTCCGAATGATATTGATAGGAAACTAATCGAAATGCTTGATACGACGATGTTTCGAAACTTCAGAGGGCGATGGGGGCGGGTTCCAGGTGTAGATGAGCACCACGCATTATTTACCGAAGGACTCCGGATTAGGGTGAATAACGGTCGAGGAAATCTTGACAGGGGGGTCGTATTTGCTGCGATGAAGGTGAGGGGGTAGTAAGCACGGTCTATCACTGGACACAACGGTCCTGCTGCCACTCATTCGCTGTCATCTTTGATTTCACAAGTGTTTTGAATAACGTAATGCAAATGATTTTATCGGCTGCCGGAATTGAGGTTTAACTCTTTGACGTAAAATGCGGGCTTTGCGTATAGGACACGCGCTTGGCGACCCAACACTCGTTCCACAAATTAGGACGGGCAATGTCCTTATAAAGCAGTTTTCCTATACAAATGTTTAATTTGGCGTATAACCAGATAACTAATCAGTTATACGATAGTATACCAGATACCTATAACTGCAGTTCTAGGCTTTCATACTGTATATTGTTTTCAAGAGAATTCCAAATTTGGAAGGGAACTCGGGTTTCAAAGGGAAGGAGGGCAAAACCTCTAAAAGTTTAAGTGTCCAAGAGAATTTCCGATACACTTCAAACCCCTTCCCATATCTGAGGGCTATGAGAAGACGAAGAAGTCCTGATTAGTAATTAATCTTCGGCCTAATAATGCAAAACCCCAATTAATATGCTGGCGAGCTAAATGGCACATTCTAAAATTCTATATAAATTAGCTCTTAGTAAACATTTCTGTAAGCCGTGCTAGTCATAGATATTATGGAACTTGCTTATAATTATTGGGGTGTTACAAATGTTTTAAATGCACAAAGAAGGAAATTTTAAGGTGGCACCCACCATTGGGTGCCATTGTCGTCAAAGGGTTGAATGAAAAGTGGCTGTCGGTTTGGTGGATAGTGCAGCCTGATGACAAGTGGTAACAACTGATCGGAATAGAGCAGGAGGGGTTTCATATTTGGACTGACACGTCCCTCTCACCCAACTCCTAACAGTTTATCAGTTTTTAATACAAATTTGATTTAATGTGTTGCTCCATGTACAACTGCTGGCTATGTGTTTTGTATATCTGTGCACCCGGGAGCAGGGTCAACTATGTTGCGACAAGTACCAACGGGGGAGGGGGTCGTATTTTGTTGAGTTTCGTAGGTGGGGGGATCGTATTCTATGTAAGTATTCGATGTAATGAAGGCGTGTAATGAAGGAGCGGGAAAAATTTCGCCGTTTCACTGTACGTATATACTCCTCCCCGCTCGACGGCTGTTTTGGAGGGAAAAGTGGGTGGAGTTAGGTGTGTCGACTGGTCTCAGAATTAAATACTATAGAAACAGCGACCATGATGGCGAGGGTGGTGAAGGGGGTCGTGAAATTTTTGATTGGAAGAGGGGGTCGTAAAAAATTTCCGAAAAGTCGCAACGGTAGGACCGACCCTGCGGGAGAAGGCTTTAAACCCGAAACGTCGTCGCATAATACATTTCGAAGGGTTCCATATTAATATCATTCAAAGATCTTCTCAGTTGATGTTTAGACCGTATTTTTCCTGTGTATCATTTATCAGCTATAAACTTTGTAAGGATGAAATGCATAGGCCTACTCAATGGGAAGCGGATAAAGTGCTAACGATAACGATAGAAACTCCCTCAAAGGACCAATTACAGTTTTTTCAAAGGAAAACACTATGAAGCGAAGAGCGGAGGCTTCATAAGCTGCCCTAGAAGCAGAAATCCAAGTGCCACTTCTTGAAAAGGCTAAATGAATCAGTGGTCAAGCAGTGAGCGCATGTGCACGCTCTATAAATTCTGAAGTACCGAGACAAAAGCGGAGGAATTTCCCCACCTCAGCGAATGGCGTCTTCGGTGGTGGTGGATTTGCTTCCAGAAGTTTCTCCTGCTCTTCAACATACGATTTTGGCTTTGGATAGTAGATTTCGCCAAGGGCAGGATCAACTGCCGTGTTCGGATTCGGCTGTGCTTCGGATTTCAGCGCTGGCAACTCGAGAAATGGGAACACTGTAAAGAAGGTCGTCTCGAAGAATTAGCAAGAAAAGTGAGAGA